CGCAACACCGGTTATGTCACTTGCCCACCGTCGTTTAGATTTTTTATAGTAATAAAAATGATTTAGTTTACTAAAATTAAAACTGAACGTGGCTGCCGAATGACAGTCGCATCACAGATCAGATTTCATTTATCATGTGAGGAGAAGCTGACAAAGAAGAGTGAAGTGAGACAGACAAGACGATGGCAGAAGAGTTTCAAAACGACTTGCAAAAGCGCCCGTTTAAAAAAATATTTTGGATATTGAAAAGCCTGTTGACTTCTGCCATTTATCTAAGGTGATATTTGAAGTTTTTTTAAACATTTGTTTCTTATTTATTTGGTTCCACAGTGTTTGCTGATTTAAATGTATTTAAACTGTATATATATATTTTCATATATATATATATATATATATATATATATGAAAAAAAAAAAAATATATATATATACAGTGGGTACGGAAAGTATTCAGACCCCCTTAAATTTTTCACTACAAGCTATTTAAAACGGAAGGAAAGCAAGGAAAAGAGGGAAAACTACCCCCCCCTCTTTTCCTCACCGTCACAACCCTAAATGATAGCTTACCCATCTATCTCAGAAGGCGCCGTCAATGTGCTGTTGACGTTTTTTTAAGTTATAAGGTCAGGTTTGAACAAATCAAATGAGAAACTAAAGAAAAATTTGAATTTGAGTTATTTATTATTATTTAAAGAATTAAGTATCAATCTTTAAATGTGTTTTGTTCCCATGATTCCCACATACAGTAAATGGCTCAAATCAGTCTGTTGACATGTGTCATCCAGTTGTAAAAGACAGATATTATCTGATTATCAGATATTATGTCTGTTGTGATGCATTCATAATAAATTCATGCTGCTGTTTATGCTTCATTTGTTGTTTGTTCATCTGGATTTAATTTCATATGTATGTACACATGTGCGTTTAGTTTAATTGGGTTGGGGTGCCCTGGAAAAGAAAAAAAAACACTACAAAGGGGTGCCATGCTTTCAAAAAGTTTGTGAACCACTGGAATAGAGCATGTGATTCTAGAGCAGGCATGTGGCGTCTCTCACCCCAGGCAGGTGTACTGCTGCACCATGCTCTTATTCTTGACTGTCAGTTTGAGATCTAGAACAGCCGTCGCAACGCTGCCCACAGGAACGATCCGCACACAGATGCGCTTCTTCTTCCCGACAGACGCCTCTGTACAAACACACGCACAGTGATTACACTTCCACAGCGCATCAGGAGAGACAGACAAGCAGATCTGTGGAGGCTCTAAAGGCCCACATCTCTCAATGAACCATCTTACTGGGCTCCAGGAACTCTGGGATGTAGCAGTAACCGTGAGGAATCGTCTCTTTATCCGTAATCACCTGCACATCTGCCACAACCATGCCACCGGACAGATCCTACAGACAGGAATGAGTCTGATGAGCACGATAGTATATGGAGACATCACATGTGTGGTGAGATGGAAGTTTAAACAACAGTGTGTCAGTGTTTTTGTGAGTCATTCGTGCTTTTGTGTTTCACTGAAGAAAGAATGTCATACAGGTTTGGAACCCTTTAATGCATCTTACCTTACTGTAACTCAGGTAGTATCCTGACTTGATTGCAAACCCTCGGATGAAGTTAGCGGAGGCTCCATCTTCAGTCTGAGTGATCTAAACACACACACACAGAGTTATTGACATGGTCTGAACTCCAGAGGCAGATGAGCATGTGACCGCAGGTGTGTGTGGTTGTATTGTTCACCAGGATGAATTGACCGGGGCAGGTGGAGGCGTTTGATGCCCAGGCCACTGCAGTGATGGGCCTGCTGAAGGCGCTAGATGACTCGAACACAGACATCTACAGACAGACAGATCACGAGGATCAGTACTGATGACACACTGCTCACTGTCACAGGAACATCAGCACATATAACATGATTAGACAGACTGATATACACAGTTAGATGTGACCCTGGAGCACAAAACCAGTCATAGGTAGCACAGGTATATTTACAGCAATAGCCAACAATACATTGTATGGGCCAAAAATCATTAGGATATTAAGTAAAGATCATGTTCCTTGAAGATATTTGGTAAGTTTCCTACCATAAATATATCAAAACTCAATTTTTGATTAGTAATATGCATTGCTAAGAACTTCATTTGGACAACTTTAAAGATGATTTTCTCAATATCTAGATTTTTTTGCACCCTCAGATTCCAGATTTTAAAATAGTTGTATCTCAGCCAAATATTGTTCTATCCTAACAAACCATACATCAATGGAAAGATTATTTATTCATCTTTCGGATGATGTTTAAATCTCAGTTTTAAAAAAATTACACTTATGACTGGTTTTGTGCTCCAGGGTCACATAGATAGATAGATATAGATAGATAAGCGGGTAGATAATGATTTATCTAGTGAACTTCTCTCAGTTAATCGCACTGTTAATAGTCATTAAATGATGTGTTTATCAGCTGTTATCATCTCGACGCAGCAGTGTTAGTTTCAAACACACGCTGTAATCAGCATTTACACTTTAACTGATTATAAACGGCTTTAATGAACACGTGAGGCTGAATTCAGTACTTACAGGCTGTTGTTATGAAGTTTTTTCTCGTTTCCAAACACGAAACTGACCTGAACTCACTCACTGCCGAAGTCAGAGAACAGGAAGCAGCGGTAGACTACAACTCCCGTCATGCACCGCGGCGACGTCACAGCGGACCGCGCATGCTCAGTGCGATTTACCTTTTACGGTTCAAAACCAGGAGCCGGTTGCATAAAAGGTTTAGACTAGTCTTATAAGTTAGTCATCTCATTTTTTTCTTTAAGAGTGGTCATAATTTTTAAAATTCAGTTACATAGAAACGTTTGGACTAAGTTGAATCCGACTGTCTTACCATAGAGGCTAAGTTAATGCAACTGGCCCCAAAGAAGACAATTCAGGCATTAAAATAAGCTGAAACAAGTAAAAATCAAGATGTTTTTAATTTTAATTCAACCTCAACGCAACTTTTTTTCTTTTAAGATTATAAAAGTGTGATATCTAGACTCGGAAAAGTCATGTAAATTAATAAAATCCGTTAAATCCATGGGTATTTTAACATGTTTTATGAATCATGCCAAGTAATAAAATATTTTATCTTAATTGTGAATTATTTTTTTTTATATTTCTCTTAAAAAAAGAGAAGTAAATATTGTTGTGGACAACAAATAAGGTTGAAAACTGATCTAAATGAATAATGTGCATAAAAAAGCAGGACTGGACCGAGAGTTTCTCTCATCACTGCCACCTACAAACACAACAAGCCATTACAATATAATAATAAAAAAATAATAGAAAATACAAAATACAAAATTAACATCTAATTCAAAATATTACAAAAAACTACAATAGTACCTCAATCATAACAAAATAACACTGAACAGCAAACAAATGTATAAATGAAAGGTAAAATGAATTATAATTAATATAATAATGAGATGAAATGTAATATTTCTTAATCTGCTGGGGAACATGATCTTTACTTAATATCCTAATGATTTTTGGCATAAAACTACAAATTCGCTACAAATATATACATGCTACTCATGACTGATGTTGCTCTAGGGTCACATATTTGCATATTTCCATATTTTGAGTTCTTTCTTTCTAGCAAATAAGAGGGAAGGGGAGTAGAAGTTGGCATGCGTGGCTCATGCAGGTTCAGGGCGTTTGGGGAACACGTCTCTGGAGTCAGTCGGTGCTGTTTGCGTGGCGTGTCCGGATGAAGTGCAGCAGCGTGATGTCGTACAGCACCTGGTGTCCGTTGTTCCAGGTGTACAGCGCTCTGATGCGCGGGTTGTAGTCCAGCATGGAGATGTGCGAGTACTGGTTGTGGAAGGCGATGTCGGTGTACTCGTACGAGGCCGAGGCCGTGTGGAAGGTGAAGTGCACTTTAGCTCCGGCCAGGTGTGAGTTGGTGACGTAGAGCGAGCCGCAGATGAGGAAGGCCTCGCCGGCGCTGCGCTTGGAGAAGCCCGTGTCCCAGGAGTGCAGCACCTCCAGCGAGTCGGGATGCAGGCGGCTCAGCAGCATGTTCCCGCCGCAGCCGATGCTGGAGTACACGGCCCACAGCCCCGTCTCGTCGGCCATGAGGTCGATGTCGGACGAGCCGCCCCAGGAGTACGGGAAGGTGTTGTTGAACCCGGCCTGAGTGAGCGGACGCTGCTGCAGAACGCCGCCCGACGCCAGATCGTAGCGCACTAGCACGTTACTGTGGTGTTTGTTATAGTACAGAGAGCTGTTATACACCACGTGACCCGTACCTGAGAGACACAAGCACACACACACACGTCACAAAGCACGGAAAATCACTTCTGACAGGTGCAAAGATATAAAAAACATACGTGCAACATTTTATCTCGCAATTCTGATTTTCCCCCCTGAATTCTGAGTTTTAGCCTCACTGACTTTTTTTTCGTAATTCTGAGCTTACATGATGTAGTTGTAATATTATTCATAATTCTGATTTCATATGCTGCGATTCTGATTTTTTTTCTCATAATTCTGAGTTTATATCTCAGAATTCTGACTTTTTCGTAGTTCTGAGTTTTTCAATTTTTGATTTAAATCTCGCAATTCAAATTTTTTTCGTTAATTAGAGTCTATACCTTTGAATTTTTTCTTTTTTCTGAATTTTGGGTTTACATCATGCAGTTGTAATATTTTTCGTAATTCTGAGTTTACATCTCGCAATTCTGACTTTTTTCTTGTAATTCTGAGTTTACGTAACACAATTCTGACTTTTTCTTGTAGTTCTGAGTTTACATCTCAGAATTCTGACTTTATTCTTGTAATTCTGAGTTTACATCTTGCAATTCTGACTTTTTTTCTTGTAATTCTGAGTTTACGTAACACAATTCTGACTTCTTCTTGTAGTTCTGAGTTTAAGTCTCGCAATTCTGACTTTATTCTTGTAATTCTGAGTTTACATCTCGCAATTCTGACTTTTTTCTTGTAATTCTGAGTTTACGTAACACAATTCTGACTTTTTTTTTGTAGTTCTGAGTTTACATCTCAGAATTCTGACTTTATTCTTGTAATACTGAGTTTACGTAACACAATTCTGACTTTTTCTTGGAGTTCTGAGTTTAAATCTCGCAATTCTGACCTTATTCTTGTAATTCTGAGTTTACATCTCACAATTCTGACTTTTTATTCATAATTCTTGTAATTCTGTTTTTTTTTATTTCTGAGTTCACGTGTTGTAGTTTACATGAAAAAAAGTTCAGAATTATGATAAGTCACATTGACCTTTTTCATATTTTTTTTTTCGTAGCGGAAACAAAGTCCCATAAGAAGCAGACAGGAGTTCTTTGGGTTTGAAATGCTGAATCAGTAGTTGTAGTGTTGGAGATGAAGACAGTCAGTGTTTGTTTGTTTGTTGTTAGAGGATCACGTGATTCTCTGAGTGAACATCACTGAAGGTGTTTGATAGAGTCGCATTCACACCTGCCCACGGGTGAGGAAGATGATGGACGATGAAGTTCTGTCCAGTTGCAAAGTCACCGAGAGACTGATACTCCACCAGACGCCTGCCTTTAAAATAACCATCCATCACCCACACCTACGCACGCACACACACACACACACACACACACACACACACACACACACACAGATCAGGATTATTATCATTAACTAAAACTAATACGATTAAACTAAAACAAATTCTTGTTGCTTGAAATAAATTTTAACTGAAATAAAAATTATGAACCAAGTTAGCAAGGCAACATTTCTCATTATCATTTAGTGTATGTACTTAAACAACTAAAACAAATAAACTAAAACTTAAAAACTATATATAGACATATTTTTAAAAAGAATAATATGCCACTATAATTTATGTTTATTATATACTTATATTTTTCATTGCTGTTCTTTTTTAAATTCTAAATTCAAAGGATTTGTTGTGGAGTGGCAAGAACTAAAATACATGTTTATAATTGTTTTGTTTACCGATATTTTACATTATTTCTAAATGTAATAAAATGTGACTTATAAAACGGTGTGACTTTCTTTCTCTCAACAATGCAATTTTGTCAACTTATTTTACAGAAAGTACCGTATAAGCATCACAGCAGTGGTTCTCAACCAGGGAAACTTCAAAATCAGCAAGAGAACTTAAAATGACTTCAGCTAAAACAAGTAAATATCAAGTTCTGTCTTTTGTCTTTGAAGAACCAAGATTCTTGTCGTCTTGGAAAACCTGGATATATGAGGAAGCCTAAAAAAAACTTTAAAAAACCCTGTAATTTCTAGACCTGAAAATTGATGGAAATTAATAAAATCTGTAAACTCCATTGGAATTTTTATAATGATTATACATTTTATTAGTATGCCAACCTCTGTTTATCAGATGGAAATGGTAAGTAAAAATACTTCTAAAAATCCTTACAGTAAATCATGTATAACTGGGAACATCATGGGTTCTTCAAATATTGATGTGATGGGCCTTGGAGTCTAAAAGGTCAAGAAGAGCAGCTGTGTGTGTCTGTGTGTGTGTGTGTGTGTGGGATGAGAGCTCCTGCATACGCGGTTGTCTGTGCTGTCGATCAGACTGTCCATCATCCATGATCCGAAGCGCGAGCCTGAGGATCTGATGGTGAGTGGAGCACTGATGCCCGTCAGCAGGCCACAACCTGACAACACAAAGAGCAGCGTCAGTGCAGTCGAGTGAGTGATAACGCTGCGATGATGACGATGCTGCGATGATGATGGTGGTAATAATGATGATGGCGATGATGCTGCTGGTGATGATGCTGATGCTGATGATGAGGCTGATGATGATGATGCTGATGATGATGGTGCTGATGATGATGGTGCTGATGATGATGCTGATGATGCTGCTGATGATGCTGCTGATGTTGCTGATGATGATGATGATGATAATGCTAATGCTGCTGATGCTGCTGCTGTGGATGATGCTGCTGCTGCTGATGATGATGGTGCTGATGATGCTGCTGATGATGATAATGCTAATGCTGCTGCTGCTGTGGATGATGCTGCTGCTGCTGATGATGCTGCTGATGTTGCTGATGATGATGATGATAATGCTAATGCTGCTGATGCTGCTGCTGTGGATGATGATGCTGGTGCTGATGATGATGGTGCTGATGATGCTGCTGATGATGCTGCTGATGCTGATGCTGATAATGCTAATGCTGCTGATGCTGCTGCTGCTGCTGCTGTAGATGATGCTGCTGCTGATGATGATAATGCTGCTGCTGATGCTGCTGATGTTGCTGATGATGATGATGCTGCTGCTGCTGCTGATGATGCTGCTGCTGATGCTGCTGATGTTGCTGATGATGATGATGCTGCTGCTGCTGCTGATGCTGCTGATGCTGCTGATGCTGTGATAAGTCGGTACCCAGCTGACTGGAGCAGGAGTGCAGGTGCCGCTGCAGGATAAACTCGCGCTGCTGCAGCTGCTGATAATGATGGAGAGTGAAGCGCTCCTGCAGGACGGACAGAGAGTCGTTCAGCCTCTGCATCTCCTCATTCAGAGCCTCCAGCTGCCCCACATCGACCCGCAGACGCCCCACCAGCATCCGCAGGGGGCGACACTGAGACACGCTCCCGCGCAGCTCCTGCAGACACACAAGCACTGACCACATGCCATGTATATACTGTAAACATTTAAAGGGGTCATGGCATGAGAAACCAAATTTCCCTTGATCTTTTGACACAGAAAAGGTCTTTGTACCATTCAAACATTCTGCAAGTTTCATAACTGAAACATCCACCTATAAACAAATCATTTATTTAATCAAGCTCCAAAAATGGCTCGTTTGGATCTGAGGTGCAAGGTGATGTCACCCGGGCACAGTCGTTTGCATAAACACCACCCCCAGAGCAAGACATCGATGAATAGTCTTCTTCTCACCATAGGCCCCGCCAACTGGCGTTCAATCGCTTAACGGCTGAAGCTTGATCACGCTGAATGCGAGTGTCGCGTCACATCGAAAGCAAATAGAAATGACAATCACTACCGCTATCTTGTCTACACTGGATACAGTATACAGATGCACGTTCACTTTCTGACACAGTCCAGCGCTCGAGTCTGTCATCAGGACAAACGCAGTGAAAGAACGTTCGCTTTGATGCGTTTGGATAAAACAGCTAATTCGTGTCTTTGTACAGATATCAGAAGGATCCCAGCGTAAGGAACAAGTGGATAGTTTATTTTTAATGGCATCCAGGATTGTGTCAGAGGATTGTTTGGAGGATTTTGTTTTGTAATTGAGGCACAGTGTCATGGAGAGTCACAAAGAAACATTTGTTGAAAGATGAAGTGGTACTAGATCTGACTGCAGCTGCATCACAAACCGTAAGGAAATGATTTAATTATGCTTTGTCTGGAAATGACCATTTTATTTTGATCATGTTGTCAAAACACTCACAATAGCCAGGGGGCGTTGATACTGTTTCCTAGGCAATGATGTTAGCCAATCATAACAGTGGCCGATTACTGACAAGCCTTAAAGGACCCACCCCTTAAAAACAGCCTGTTTCTGAGAGGGCCAGAATAAGGATTTAAAATAATAATTTTCCACATATTTATTTGTTTTTTTTGTGTGCAAAACCTTTATTAACATTATAAGTAAACCTCAAGGAAAATATTTAAATCATAATAAAAAAATCCATGTCATGACCCCTTTAAGTGAAACTAATAATCTGAATATAAAAATAAATTTCAAAAGTGTGAATTGTAGTCCTTTCTACAATTCAAGTCAAGTCAAGTTCTAAAGTTCTAAGTTCTAAAATATGTTATTGGCTAGAAACTGCCATTAAAAAAAAAGAATCCTAGCCTTCATAAATCTGGGTGAGTGTGTGTGTATAGTGCGAGTGTGTGTGTGTGTGTGTGTGTATAATGCGAGAGTGTGTGAGTGTGTGTGTGTGTGTGTGTGTATGTGTATAGTGCGAGAGTGTGTGAGTGTGTGTGTGAGTGAGTGTGTGTGTGTGTATGTGTATAGTGAGAGAGAGTGGTGTGTGTGTGAGTGAGTGTGTGTGTTACCTGCAGGCTCTTGCTGGTCAGGCTGTGAGGCTCCTCGTGGACTGTGTTCAATCTTCTCTCCAGCGTCTCCAGCAGCGTCTCAGAGTCTCTCAGCTGCTGCAGATCTTGAGTGGTCCGCTGGCTCAGGATCTCCATGTGCTGAGAGATGTTCTGCAGCTGTCACACACACATAGATGATGATGATGATGGTGAGGTGTGTGAGTGTGTGTGGTGCTCTGAAGCTGCGTGACCCTCACCTGATCAGAGATCAGCTGCAGACGAGCGTGTCGAGGATCTCCGCCGCAGGCGCCGTGAGCCGGAGTCATGATGGAGCAGACGCACTTCCCCTGAACAGAGCCGTACACCTGCCAGCCCTCGTCCTCGCCGGGGTACGACACCTGCTGACCACACACACCACACAAACCACACTCAGCTCAACACTGACTCAGTTCAGCGTCATTCTTCACCCACCGTCAACAGGTTTAACCTTCAGGATAAAAGCACCACAGAAGAACATCATCTCCACACATTCACTTCAATAAGAGTTATATGGGAGGAAAAAAATACCTTCTATTAAAGACACTGTTTAAAATCTTAAACTGGCCTTAAACTGGTTTTTTTCTGCTCTCACAGACCGGTCAGACTGGTTTTAGAGGGGTTTGGGGCACATTTCAGATAATCAGACTTGGAGACTATTTTAAACCAGCAATAATCAGCCAACCAGTTAAACTAGTTTAAGGTTGTTTTTTTTTCTGAAGATGAGATGACTTTAGTTTGTGACACTAACAGTGTTATATTAGTATTATATATATATATATATATACTATTATAGTTTTTGTAAAAAAAAAACAGAATTAGATTTTATTTTCTTAGATTTGAATTTTATTTTCTTAGATTTTCTTTTCTTTAATTTTCCCTTTTGATTTTAATTTTAGTATTCCTTTATTTTTTATTATTTAAAAGGGATTTTTTCGTGTGTTTTGTCATATTTTATTCGTTTTTTTAAAATATTTCTATATATTTATTTAATCATTATTTTTGTTTTAGTTTATTTAATTTGAGTTATTTTAGTATTTCTAGTTAAACTTAAAAAATAAGAAATGTTGCTGAAATAAAAATGAGTTTTTTTAGTTTTATTTCAGTTAATGTTCATTTTATTTAAAGTAGTGATTTTTTATGGTTAGTTGTGGTTTTATTAATAATAACAATAAAATAATTTATTAAATTAATCATTTAATTTTAACAATAATAACCATAGGCATTAGTCAGTGTAATAAAATCATATGCCTTTAATTCAGAGATTATATGAGAACCATTTGTAAAAAAATAAAACCACTCGTGTACAAAACACACACTCACAAACACACACACACACACACACACACACATACACACACACACACA